GGACCACTGTTACTTTTTCGTATAGAGACTACCGAAGGGTGGACACTGATTCACTACTTTTTGATATAGAAAATATGTGCTGGCGTGACTGTTGGTGTCTGGTTAGTGTTAATGAAAAACAAGAATTTCTTATCAGAAACTTATTGACCCTTTTTAAACCTTGGGAGGGCGCGCTTTGAAAGTTGCACGAGAGGGCGCGCCGCGGCAATTTAGCCGCAAGAGTTATCTCAAAGGTCGACTGTATTTTTTTTTATTTATGTCGAAAAATCGTTCAAATAAAACATTTAAATAATTTGTGTTTATACTGAAACATATTATAAGCATTTTTTTTTTAAATTTTTATGCATCATCATCAGCAGTGGTGTTGGTACATTCTACACATTGCATGCTTTCTGCAAACTTTTTTGTTACAATTAATACAACAAATTTGTGTTTTAAACGAAGCGCACAATGTTGCGATTCTGTCGTTGCGAATACGGTTGTTAACTTTGAATCCGCAGTCGTGCGCACACTTGCGCGATTTTTCGTGTTTAATTCGTATGTACAATATTCATCGGTGTAGCCAGAGTGAAATTTAGGGGGGGGGGGGTTGGCTCGATCCTATTAAGCTGGCATTTCAGGGTACTATTTGATATATATATAAGGAAAATTTGAAAGTTAGGGAGGGGCTCGAGCACCCCCCTGCCCCTACCTGGCTACGCCCATGACAATATTCTCTTTTTATTTTTGCTAATTGCATTTTGTTATTTGGGTTTAAGCCAAATTCGATAGATTCATCTGATGAGTAGCTGACGCTTATTTACCTTGCAGTAAACAATAAAATAAAACAAAAAAGCAAACGTGAAAAGAAGGAAATGGATCCATGAAATTAATTGCGATCGGAAAGAACATGATTTCTCGGCTTCGCAAAGACAATATTCGTTTTTATAAATATTTCCGAATGACTATTGAGTGCTTTGATGAAGTACTGACTATTATTAAAAATGAGATTCAAAAAGCAGAGTACATTGGACCCGAAGAACGCCATTGCCTTAAGGTAAATTTTTTAAATATGGTGTATGGTATTGCTTATTCTCACTCCATTAATGATTTATTTCTAGATATCTCACAACTGGCGATTGCTTGATTCTCAGCGAAGTATTTTAGGCGATATAGAAAAATGGAAAGAATTTATTTGCCGGAACCAACAATGGAAACTTGTGAAAAATCTGCTGAAGGATTTCAAGATTTGTGGCAATTTCCAAATTACGTAGGTAGCGTCGACGGTAGGCACGTGACTATTAAGTGTGCAAAAAAAAACTGGATCGAACTATTGGTGTCATCTTCACAAGTTTTCTGTCGTGCTTATGGCTATCGTTGGCCCTAATTACAAGTTTTGTGTGTGGATGTAGGTAGACTCGGCAGGAATAGTGACGGAGGAATATCTGAAGCTTCTAATATGGGTAGAAAGTTTGAAGAAA